GCACTCCCGGGCTGACTATGATCTTGATAACAGGGGCCACGGCACGCAAACGCAACTTAATAAAGAACCCCAAAGAATGGGAACATGGCTGCTTTAGGACATTCCGAAAGCACAGATCTTTTATTCTTTTTGTCCATGCCACGCCATGCGTGTCTATGTTTTTGTGTCTGAATTGCAGCGACACTGATGAGAGATTTATTTGAAGTCTTATTCAGAGAGAGAGAGAGAGAGAGAGAGAGAGAGAGAGAGAGAGAGAGAGAGAGAGACGCGTCGCCGCTTCCCCACCAACATTACGCGCAGTCTGCAGCTTGTTTTGCGTCGCGTTTATCTGTCGGACAAGCGCGCTGTCAAACGTCCCCGCGGCGCGCAGTGGAGTCCTTTCTCGCACCCGGTACGGCGGCACGGCCCCGATCCCGAGAGTGTAAAAGGTCCGGGACGCAAAGTGCGCGCGTCGCGCTGGTTCCCGGTGCGGACGATCGCCGGCGCGTTGAGAGGAGACGGGATGAAAGGAAAAAAAAGGTCGACAGACCCGATCGGGTGCGAGTCTCGCCTCCGTTCACCCTCGTTCCGTCCCGGTTATCCATCGCGTCCGTCTTTACGTCGTTCACCGCCTGCTGTGAATTGATTCAAAATGTTGTTGTTCTATGAGTTTTTTTTTATTTTAATTTTTTTTAAAGGACGTATAATCGCCACCGCTGCAGTATTTCAGCGGTGACTAATCCAATTGAGAGAAGGCTCGCGCACGCGTCTCTAACGTGTTTGCTGTCGTAACAGCTTTAGAGAAGAAGAAGAAAAAATATATATATATATTTAATCTACGAGAGTCATTCAGATAACCGACGTGTTGGCTTTGCGATGCCGTTGCAGAGGTGCGTTACGGATGTTAAACAGTGCGACATTGCAGTGCAACTGCAAACAGGACCAATGAATTAAACTCTGCGACGAAGAGCAGATCAAACAATTCCACGTGATGTTATCTGAGATTTTGCTTCAATCCCTGTGTGATGCACTTAGTTACTGCAGCTTGCAGTCATACATTAAGGCGGATCACCTTTAACAGCATCTCCAACGGAAGCACAGGTTCACATGCTAATCGGACGCTCCTGCTAATTGACAGCACAAAGCAAGCGACGAGCCACGCTGGTTTCCAATATTTATGTCCCAATAGCTTCGAGTTTTGATGTGTACTCTATAGTCCCTCTGCTGGAGTTACAGGAAACGCCTCCTCCCTTATTGAGAATAAGAACTGTGAAAAGTGAAGGTATGGAAACATCTCAGTGAAAGGAGGGTTTCTAATATGGATGTTAGTTTATATAATAGGCTGCTTTAGAAGACACACTGCTTGAACAACCATAAGGTTGCCACAACCCCCCCAAAGTGCTGTCATGTCGCTACAATAATGTAGAGGGTTTTTTCTTCGGGAGGGGGGTGTGTGTGGAAGTTCACAGGCGTAGCCCGAGACGAAGGCTCTTCAACATGAAAGGGAAAAGTTGAAATCAGACTCCTATGCAAAAGGTAATTATTGTAAATTACCTTCCCCAGCTTTCCCCCCCTTTGCCACGGAGAGGAGGAGAAACGGAAGAGAAACAGGCGGCGGGGGGATAATTACCTTGCCTGTCCTCCTCGGTGTTGGAGGGGCCTGTCATGTAGAGCCGTCATGGAAATGACCAAAGTCAACAGGGGGGAGAATAGGTTTCGAGGGGAGGGGGGCCTTCACGTAGGCTGAGACAAGGCAACTAACTTTGGATATGAGCTCCGATAGTTTTAACTCGAGCTTTGCAGTAGACAGTTGTTCATGTTTGTTAAAACCCGACTTCACGCACGCGGCCATTTATTTGGACTCATTTCTTTCAACGCAGGGGAGATTTTCAGGAATGTTTACGAAGCTTCTGGTGATCACTGTTCTTTTTTTTTACGTGTTTGCCTTTGGTCCGTCTTGGCCCAGACAAGGGGGGGGGGCTATGAGGCGGGGAGCCCGGTCTCATAACCCAAACTGACACCTTGATGGATGTCCGATGTACCGAGCAGGTCCAGCAGCCCTGTGGAAAAAGCTAATATTCACACACCGCCAAAAAACCCCGCCTGCCCTCCCTCCTCCTGGCTATAGATGTTGTGGTCGCGCTCATGCCCGCGCCGGCGTTTGTCTCCCGTCTGCCTACAGACGCGTCCGCACACATGTGGCTTTCGCCCATTTGTACGGCCGGCCTGCAGAGAGGGGATTAGACAGCTGCGAGGCGCCGGGCCACCAGGCAAGCGAGGCAGCCTCCCTTTGCGGATCTGCCTCTCACAGGTCAACCAGTACTATTTCAGGGAGGGTTTATTCATTCACGCCAGGGGGAGATGGACACAGACTCAGAGGCTCGCCGCTGAGGACGAGGACGATAGCGGGGACAGGCCAGATCAACGCTTCGCCCATTTGTTAATAACCCCATGGTTTCCAGGTACGGAGAATGTACCTTGCCCCCCACCTCCCCTCTCCCACACCCCTTCCTCTCCCCCTCACGCTTGTTTGGGACCCGCTTGATTGATATCTTCCTCACAGGCTACGACCCAGACCTAAGCTCCGGGGTTGCGGCTTTTCAAAACTTTGATTAGAATTGCAGGAGAATCCTGGGGGCTTTGGGGGGGGGGG